TGGCACCGTTCGAGTTCCCAGTGCAACACCGTGGGCTCTGGAGGAGCGAGAGGCGTAGGGGAGTGCACAAGCATTGTAGCTGAGGAGTAGAAACAAAGGGTTTAAGTGTGTGAGGCAATTAATGGGACATAACACCCTGTACCCCAGTAAATCAGTGCTAACAAGCTGTGTAAAGATGACCTGAGAGCTTTGTCTGGATGTTTTCTCATCACTCATATCTGTGTGTGTGACCAGGCACAGCTGGCAGCTACTCCCGCTAACAGCCTGTAGCGCTGTTAGTGCCTTCCAGGAAAAGTCTAGGAGCCCCTCTGTTGGAGGTGGTTTCCTGATCCCAGCTCTAAGACCACCTGAAGATTTCATTCCTGCAAGTTAATCACTGATTGCAAACACAGGGAGCAGGGCAGTGATGCAGTTCCAGAGCAGCCAATTCCATTTTTTTGTATAATTTCTTCAGCACAGAGTCTGTCTTTGTGCTTAGCTCATGGTTGGATTTCTTGACGTCAGCGGGTGTCAGATGATGAAAAATTGCGTTTTTTGAGTATTGGATTGCAGTTAACTGTAGTTGTCATATCCTGCCAGTCCTCTCCCCTTTGCTGCGGAGTTCTGTGGTGTGGGAGTCTCTATGGAAATGGGATTAGATGTGGCTGTCTGCACCGCTTTTCCTTGGAAGGGTGTGCAACTTTGAGTAAAGGCACTTGCATAAATTCCTGGAAGTGCGTGGTCAAAGCTTCTGGCACAGATGAATTTCTCTACACAAACTCTAGGAGCAGCTCTGTTTTTGTGCTGGTAAATTGATTTTAACTGGGCAGGGAAAAGGAAGGAATGGCAGTATAATTGTAGAATAATTCAGGCTAGAAGCAGCCTCAGGAGGTTACCTAGTCTAGCCTGCTGCTCAAAGCAGGATCACTTTCATTATAAACTCCTTTTGCTTAACATGCTTTTCACCCTCTTTCTTCTATTTCCTTAATTTCCATGCAAACACGTATTTGGCAGTACGAGCCCCAGATGAGCACACTAAGTGAGGTGAAGAACGAATGCATGCAGGTGGTGACTGAACTACTCACACAGAAACCTGTTGCAAAAAAATCTCATCTTCAGCCAGCGGTCTCACCTGCCTGCTTCCAAGAGTCTGTGGCTATGAACTGCAAAATGTTTCCATGGTCTAAAGAGTGTGTCAAGGTTAAGTGTTTAAATTCTCTGCCTTCCAAGAAGAACGAGGCTAGAATGCAACTGCTAAATACTGTTTGTCTTGTTATTGATGTGAATTTGTTTGAAAAATCTGGTCTATAATCCAGGGGACAGTATCAAAGGTAGTGGGTAGATTGTCCTTAAGCTTTTTTTGACACAGGGGAAATGTCACCTTTGTGACCACTTGGCAGTCTTCCATTTTAGCTCAAATACAATTTGAAGGTTAATGCTCTAGGTATTTCAAAGATTCCTGTTTTCTTAATTACCGTTCCTGTTGGTTTTTCTGTTGTCCTCTATAGCACGGTGTTTATAACTCTTAAGGTAATTAGCTAACTGTTTTTCTGGGTGCTTTTAGTACATGACAGAAGCATAGTTAGTATAACTATTTTGTGTAGATTTACCTAGAGTTTAAATTACTTAGCAGATTCGGGGAAAGCAAAGTGTCTGAAGTGTCACAGAAGTCACTGTAGCACACTTGCTTACGTATTTGTGTAAAGCCCTTAAAAGGTCTGTGATTCTTGGCTGCTGTGGCCATGTAACTCATTTAATGAACTAATCAATGTAAGCTGACTGGTGTGTATATAGAGATGTAATTAATGGAATGCTTATAAAAGCACATGTCTCTACTGAGATAAAATACATGCTTTTTTATACCTTCTATTTGTATTACTCAAGAGCACTTACTGTAGTGATTAACTTCTACAAAATCAATTTATGTCTTACAGCTTGCCTTGAAGGGATCTAACTATGCTGGTCTGCTGGAGCGACATCGCATTCATACAAAAAATGTGGAGCATGTTGTAGACAGTTTACGGTAAGAATGTATGGATGTTGGGAATTTCAGACACAGTGCAACTATCCATGGATTCTGTAAAACAACAAAAAGAAGCTTTGTGTTACAAGTTAAATAGGAATAAAATAGGAATACTGAGAACAGGGTGATGCAGGTGAACAGTTATTCCTGAAACAATTGTAATGTGAACTAGCTCAGTTCAGTTGACTAGCACGCTGTGTTATTATCTTGAAAACAAATGAAAAAGATACAAAGGATTTGTGTGAGTGTAAAATGCTTATAAGCCAAATACTACTGCAATTGGCCCTTAATTACATGTCAGTTTTTCAGAAGGATATGACAAGGAACAATATAGAACACATTCAGACTTTTTCTGCACTTTATAGGAACGAGAAGATAGAAGTTCGTCTTGTTAAACGTCGAGAATATAATGAAGAGACAGTTCGGTGGGCAGATGCTGTTATATCAGCAGGAGGTACGACTTTATGGAAGGGAAGTATTTGTTTCAGTATGTTTTCATAGATACATTTTTCAAAAATATTTTGCAGTGTGTGAAGCATCTGGAGATATGCACATTTTGAAAACAAATTGCTTATCTAATTGTCAGAAAATATGTCAAAATGCAATGGTTGTGACCATCCTCTCTACCTCTAGTATCTAAAATTGTAGTACTAGGAAGTGAATCGCAATGCATCGCCACTTTGGAAATGTTTAATTGTCTTGTGTAAAACAGTATAAACTGTGGAATTTACTGTAGTTTTCAACTAAAGAGGGTAAAATGCTTGCTGTCATGTGATTATACATAGCTCTAAACCCTATGCTTTGGTTTTGGTATGTGAGGTGGAGACTAACATATACTGCCTTTTCCTCCCCTTGCTCAAAATGTCTTTCTTGCTTTCACACTTAATTCTAGTGACTGGAGTATCTAGTTGGATAGCACAGGTGAAAGTATACAGCTTCTGAGCAGCCTGTGCCACTGATGAGAGCTTTTTAAGTGAACTATCAGAGCAACTAACCTGATTGTTTCTTTTTAACATTGGATTGCAGCAGTTCATTCAGTGTTATTTTTGTGAATTGCTGCAAATACTGCAGTGTGTTGCTGGGCTCTGACGTAATGTTCAGTCATTTTTGGCAGTTAGACTTGACCACTGCTCTGCCTTTCTCTCCTCTCCAATGGTCCACTTTGCCCTTAGCTACTGGTTACCAGGCAGAATGGGTAGAAAGGGATATGTGTACCTTCCTGAAGCATCCTAATATATTCATGTAGATTTCAAAGAACTCCTCCTCTAAGCTGGAGGTTAAAGTGCCAGTTTCGCCTTGGCAATATTTGTCATGGTTATGAGGCAAGCAGCTGAGAAGTGATACGTCATCCGAGGTTTTCAGTGCTTATATCTTGGTGCAAAGACTGATTCAGGTTGTAACAGGTTAATTCTGTTTAACGGACAGGAAAGAATATCAATATATGAAGAAACCAGTGACAATTAAAGATTTCTACTTCAACAGTTTTATCTAAGACTTCCTTTCCAAGTATGCCTATTTGGGGCCAAATGAGGCCTTTAAATTGTGCCTTCTAGGAGGACAACTGAGATGGAACTAAAGTCATTGTTTTCATGTGATTTACAGTAAAATTTGGTATTGTTTCCTGTCTCCTGTGACTTTGATTAGCAGTACTTTCTGAATTTATTTTCTTAAAGAATTTCTCTTACCAGCTGATAAACATACAGAAATTTCCATAAATTTCTTTTCAGACTTGCTTCTGCCAAATTCAGTTGCCTGGGCATGTATAGCTGTCAGATAACTCATACTTTTGCAGCCACATTTGCTGTCTTGAGTTAAGTTGTCACTGCTCTGCTTCGAAAGGTGTCAGTAGCTTTGCGGTCCCATTTTATTTTTGTGCAGCTTACCTGCTCGGTTGTTGATATAAAGACAGATAGTGGTAATGCTGCAGTACATGTGAGACTATTTTGTTTGGGATACTAGATTGTGAAGTGAAACTAACTTCTGTTTTGTTTTTTCTGTAGGTGATGGTACAATGTTGTTGGCAGCCAGTAAGGTCTTTGATAAATTTAAACCAGTTATTGGAGTAAATACTGATCCTGAAAGGTAAAAACACATTTGGGAATGCAGTGCTTTATTTAATACCAGGCACAGTATGCATCTGTTTTCACGATGCATGAGACACGCCTGTAGCATTTGGCAGCGTAAATGTCTTAGTGGATTGTAGATATCAAGTGAACCTGTTGTGTTATTAGAAAAGTTTCCACAATGAGTTATCCTGTCTCATCTGAGAGGACATTAAGTAGTATTGGGTAAGCATGACTCTGTTAAACTGCCACAGCTATTTTCACACACCAGTATAACAGCACTTGCAGCTAGCTAACTTGCATTACTAACCAGAAGTTGGAGGCTGAAATGGCAGTATAGAACCAGCGACAGGAAAAGAGACTTAACAAAAGCAACTAAGTGTGGTGCCTGAACACGCAGAAACTTGGTTTCTTTATGAAGAAGGCAAATCCTATTGCAAATCTGATAGGGCCTCAGATGAAGAAGTTTATTCTGGTTTCTTCAAGTAAACCATGTCGTACCTCAGAGGATGAAGTCTCCTCGGCCAATTAATGGCATTTAGTTGTCCTATTATAAACTCCACACAAGTTGCATCCACCTAGCCATAAGATTGATTTGGGCAGGTGGATGCAGTGTATTAGTGCTGCCTGGTTGGTATAACCTTCAAGTGGATGGCAAGTAAAACTCAGAATTCCCCAAGGCTCCGTCTGCTGAGGTTTCCAGATTTACGTTTCTGCTTTAGGTATTACCAGTTAATTTAATGTTAGTCAATAAGAAGTAGTGGCCAAAAGTTTGAATTCCTTCCATACCTTACTCCTCTTCCAAAACTTTTCAAATGCTGTGAATAGATATTCTACAGTATCAAGCCTGAATAGCCGGGTTCAAATAACAAGTGCCTTCAAGTTATCAAATATCACTGGTGAAAGAGGAGCAGTGTTTAATCTTCTGGCTTTGACATGAGATTCTTTTGATCTTAGGCATGTTGCTTACCTGTCTCATATCACTAACTTGTGTGTAAATGGAGGAAATTTTCTTTCTCACTTGCAAGGTTTATTAAGCTTGAATTCCTTGCCTAGAACTATGGTGACAAGAACTATATTAGTACCTACACATTCCTGCAGGATTACTAGCTGAACAGACAGTTTTTAGGGGAAATGTGGGAGAAATATCCTATGTCTCACACATATACACCCCAGGAGCTGAAAGAGGTGTATTGTTGCTGATGTGCTATTATGTAAGAACCATATAGGTTCATAAAGGTCAAAGTGTAGCTTTGCTTTATGTAACAGAAGGAGACGTTTGTTTTGGTTTGTTTTTTAAAGGTACCAAATCTTAATAGTTACCTTGTCATTTTCATTGTCCTTTTTTGCTACCAGGTCGGAGGGTCACTTATGCTTGCCTGTGAGATACACTCATTCATTTCCTGAAGCACTACAGAAGCTTGATCGTGGTGAGTTCAGGTAGGATTCACTGATCTTTGCTTTTCCAAAACATATTATGATTAGAAAATACTTAATGATGTGCAATTCCTAAGGAGCAGACAATGCCTAGTAAAATCTTAATGCCTCAAATCATGAATTCGGTGTAGATGTTTACCATGTTGAAAAATGGGTTTGTGGTCAAGAGTGAGATTGGAATACAAAGGATAAAATTGACTGCCAGTTCCAGCAAAAAGATTTTTGTTATGACCTTCAATAATTGATTTTCTTTTCTGACTTAGCAAATTCATAAATGAAGAACTGCATTCTAGTAAAGGGTGTACTGGTTTACAGATTTTAACACTCAAAAGCATATGTAGTACAGTGGTGGGCCATACTAATAGAAGGTAATGAAGCCTATAGTTAGGAAATGGTCAGTTTGTTGCATCTGGAGTTTTGGAGATTAAAGTAGAGTGGCTTAAATTTTGTTAACAGATTAGTGTAAGGCAAAGCTTTGCTTTGTGCTAAAGATAGCTTGATGTTTTCAGTACTAGATATTCTTAAAATAGAAGAATCTCACTTGAATTAAGAAGGAAGCAAGCTGAATTTTAGAGGACAGACTAGGGAACAGTTTTTTAATAACTATTTAAAAAAGGAGACATTGTTCTGTGGTGTATTAACATTTGAGAATACTTCTATGATGGCAAACCATCAAACAGAAGTAAGTCATTCACATGAGAATATGTTGCAGTTGGGTTTTGTTTATACTTCTAGCATATTTAATTTGTAACTTGAAGTGTAACTGTATTTGTGCCATAGCAAAGTTCTGAAGTGAGGTGAATACAGTCATCAGGATTGATTATAAATAACAAGGGGTTTCAATAGGTATTGCTAAATGAAAAGGTACTTTCAACTCACATATTCTGAGACATAGAAAACAGAAGCTTTTAACTCTCCATTGTGCTGAGTTGCTTAGGTAAAGCTGGTAGTGCTAATGCAGGTAACCTCCCTTGATAATCTAGGCACTTCTAATGTTTTGTTGGATGCCATGTTATATTTTTGTTGCTGACACTCCTGTTGTTGCTCATTATGGAGCTGAAGCCTCACCAGAGTGAAACAGAAAGGATCTCCCTGATTATTTTTACAGAATAATAGGAACTGATATTCCTAAGCAAGGATCTGAGTGGGTGTTTCACTTGGCAGTTCTCAGATTTATTTGGCCGTAAGGAAACTTTACAATAGGTGGGTAACTGGATCAGCCCATCTGGAAGAGCTGCTGGTGGCTCAGAGTTGCATAAGGATGGTGAGGTGCCAGAGACTGGAAAAGGGGGACTGTCTTTTTGCCTTATCCTTGAAGTGTCACCCACTTTAGTGCAACAGTCTATGTAAGCATTTAACCTTGTAGTCCCAAGAAACAACCAACATTATTCATTTATAAAGGACAAACTATATCAGACTACCCACGGGGATTTTTTGATGGTCAGTGGTGTAACAGGATCTCAGAATAGGGGTATAATAGGGGTACAGTCCCATTTTCTAATTTTGTAGGGGTTTTGACATCTTCTAGCATGAGTATTGTAAGGAGGCTAGCATAACGATACTCATTGCATGCTGTTTGCCTGACTACCTAAAACCATACTTGGAATTTAAGGGCAGGTAGGTAATTATACTGAGGATGTGTTGAATGAGGCTCTACAAGGATGACAATGAGGAAAAGGTAGTAATGTAGTCATATAAATGACTAAGTAAGTCTTCCTTGCTGTAATTTTAGGAAACATGTAAGCTGGTTACTGTCACCCAGATATCAACAATATGAACTGGGAAAAAATGTGCTCATAGCACTCCCTTGTGATTTGCTTTCTTAATCAAAACTACTATTACTATCCTGTTTTATATAATCTCTAAATTCTAAGAGGAAAAAGGAATTGATACCTCCTCTAGAAAAAAGTAAAAAATCTGAACGTTGTAACAGCTTAAGGAAGAATGCCTTTTATATTCTTCTCTTTCTTCATTTGAATTCCTCTTAAGCATCCTAAAATTCCTAGGCTAGGAGAGATTCTTAAAATGAGAGGATACTTGTGGCCCTTATGTATAAAGGGTGGATGGAGCTGCTTTTCTGGGCATCTAAAAGTACAAACAAAAGCTGGTAAAAATGCAGCATGTATTGCTGTATAAATTCATGAGAACTTGTTGTTCTCAAAATCATTGCATCAGCCATGAATTCATAAGTTAGGATCGCATCCTAAAAAGATGAGTTGTTATCTATAATGTTTGTAGAGTACTTTGGCCAGTGTCCTTTTATTTTACGAATGCAAAAAACATTAGGTAGCACACTGGTAAATGTAAAGTATTTACATTTTAGTATGATTAACTTTCTAAATTTAGAAATGATAGTGGAAGCTATAAAACTTTAAATGTTACTTTGAATATATTTAACTTCTAATCTTAAGATGCTCTGCTTTGAGAGTGAAGTCTCTCTGATCCTATCTAATTCCGTAATAAATATTTCAGCTACTGATACCAACTTCTTTCTTCTCTCTAAGGTGGCAGTGGCGGCAAAGAATCCGACTGTATCTTGAAGGAACGGGTATTAACCCAACCCCTGTAGATTTACATGAACAGCAGCTAAGCCAAGAGCAACACAGCAGGGCTCACATAAATGAAAGATTCCAGGATCAAAGTAGGTTAAAATCTGACAAGAATATAATCACTTGGAATAGGAGATAAAGATCTGTAGGAGTTGAAGTATTTGAAGTCTGGTCGCTGTATTTGAGAGGCAGGGAGAGACAGCTCTCATTTACTGAAGACCCGGATTAAGGTTTTTTAGAAGGGAGTATTTTTTGTTTCTATATGTTTATTCCGGACTATACATTTAGAACAAGTTTCCAGTATTAACAGTTAATTTAGAGATGTTTTTAAATAGTATTATCTGCTGGCACAGTACCTGAGCTTTTTTAAAATGCTGTCTCTTAGGGTTACTATAGATACTTGGGGTTACCACATGAACATTTTACCATGTGTTTAGCTGCTCCGCACTAAAAGCGTGTGTGTGTGTGCACGTGTGCACATGAGCACTCTTAACTTGTGCTAAATTTGAGGTAGGTTACTTCACAATTGAAAAAACTGGTCAAAGACTGCCAGCAAGCAAATGATAAATTAGAAGTGAGAATCTCTCCCTGGGTAATTCTTTGGTCTTCAGACAACTTCAACTGTTCTCTTTATGATGGACTGAAGATGCATGATTCTATCCTTAACCCGTGTCTAGCACTGCATTTCATCACTGAGAAGTCCTTAGTCAACATGTACAATTTGTTATGCCCCTTCAATTACTCTGGTATAAAGTCTAGTTCTTTGAACTTTATCAGAAATGTCTGTTAAGTCACTGTCGGTGAATTTAACTAGGCTGGAAGAGTGACTGACAGAACAGAAGACTTCAATCTGTCTGGTTGCCCATGAGTTTTCAGGGAAAGCAGTGTCTGAACGTAAATGTCATTGCCTCATTGACCTTGGTTCAAATATTTTTAGTCTCCGGTAAAGGACAGTGACTGGCTACAGACGAAATCAATGAAAAATTGAGTCCTTGAAGAAAATGGAGCACTAGATCTAGAATACACACTAAGGCAGCACAGCGTGTCCTCCAGTGAGTTGTGAATTGTTTTTGAAAATTTGGTTTTAGAGCCATGATTCAAAACTGTTATATTCGATATCTGCAGGATCTGACATTTCTGGTCCACATCTTTTACCGGTGAGAGCACTCAATGAAGTCTTCATTGGGGAATCTCTTTCATCCAGGTATGTTTAATTGTTTGTTGTTGCAGCAAGGCACAATTGACTTAATTTCTTTTTATCACATTGCAATGGACAATCAGTGATGGGAAGTCTTTGCTGTCAAATTTCAGTTCTGGTCTATGGATATATTACACTGGTTGTATTGTTGCTGATTAAAAAGTGTATTTTCAGAGATGTAAGTGCGGTGATATTAATTTCTGGTTTTCCACCTTCCTGTCTGGCTATTCTTTCATCTTTCATTATTCCTGGCTGTTTTCTTTCCTCTTGATTGTTTTACTCCTTTCCTCGTTAGTTCTTATGTAACCAAATGCCTTCAGTTACTGTCTTTACAGTGGATTGAAGATTTAAGTATCTGTCCTTCAACTGCCTCCTCTCCTGCGTCTCTGCTTAAATACCTTTTCATAAGCTTTTAGCATGACCAAGCAGAAATAGCTTTTAATGTGACCAAGTATTCCTTTCCCTGCCTCTCTGTCATTAGAGGCAAACAGTATCAGCCTGCCTTTCGCAGAAGCTTTGTTATTGTGGGAAAACACTTATTTCCTTGTTTAAGAAACGAGTTCATATCAAATCCTGGTACTGCATTATCCAGGATACCTTTGACTGTCCTTTCTGTCCCGAGTATCAATGCATTTCTGCCAGCCAAATGGTAACAAGAGGGATGTGGGGAATGTAATTGGGGCTGTGGGAAAGGAGTTAAAACATGATCCTTGGTCAGGATTTGGCCAAACTTTTAGTTGTATTTTATATCCCTTTTCCCCTTTATTCTGTATCTTTTTTTAAAAAAAAACTTTATAGAGTGTAACATCTTCTTGTGTTTGTACAGTGCCTGGGACACTGTGATTGCTGCTGGAAACAGTATAAATGTTCCATGAGTGCTTTATCTTCCATCTGGACTGCAGCCTCAGACTGGCAGAAGGAATTAGTCTCAAAGAGATACAAATTTTGCTCTCTACTAAGTCAAACCTAATTTTATCAAGATTCTAAAAAGTTTCTTTAACATACAGTGATAGAGGAACACAAAGCTGCTTTCCAACACTTCATAATAGCCCTCTACTTCTGAGTGTCACAAATACATTGTGGTCTTTGGTTCCAGTATATTTGAGAAGCATTGAGGAACACAATGCCTGTATGAACAAATCTCTAGTAATAGATTTTGTGTTAATAGCACCTACACTTGAAGACTTAAATAATCATGTCACACAGATGAATCTTCTGTAAGGCTCAAATAGACGAGTCTGATGTATATTAAGACAAAATGCGTCTAGGTGCTTCTTTCAAGGTCTTATTCTGCATGTCAGTTAAGAAAACAAGGAAATCAAAGGAAAAAAAAAACCCTTTCATACCCAGCTTGCAAAAATTATCTTAAACTGAATCAAGCTGTGCACCTGTGTTCTTAATTTGCTTCCAGTTCTTTCATCTTCCCATCTTCCCAAGAGTGAGTACACAAAATGCCCTTAGTTACTAAGAGCCTAAACTGTTTGACACCAAATATTCAAGAGGTGTATTTCTAGTCAACCCAGACTGAAACATTCATCACCTAAAACAGCTCAGTAAGCTCCTTCTACTAAGAAAGGTGAAACTCAGTCGTGCTGAACACAGTGAATGCAGTGTTTTTCTAAGAGGGTATCTGTTAGTCTGAAGACTATATCATACTGTTTGGATTAGGCACTATGATCATCAATAACTTCAGTTCATAAATATACCCCTGGATGTTCTGAAGCTTACAGAGAGAGACTGCCTGGTCTCTCTAGGGCTAACATTAGGAATCCCCTGCAACATGAATAATCCTATGCAGAATGATGATTGTGCCCCAAGACTTACTACATTTGAGTTTTAGGAAGAATTTGTCCTGGAGAGAAACGTAAGCCTGCTGACTGTTGTAAAACTAAAACTGTTCCTGAAGAATCACAGTGGATTTTTAATTACTGAAGTGATCAAGAATTCAGCTTGAAGCCATGCTGTTACTTACTGACGTTGGAGTACCTTATCTCTTAGTGTTCCCTGATGTAATTTTATGAGACCCAATCACAGCATAAACACAGTTTTTCAGTAGTTCAACAATTAAGCAAGGAAGGTAATGTATTTGTAGTTTCATTTGTAAGTCCAGCAAACCCTGCTTGTGTATGAAGCGATTCCCAGATGAACCAGAGAGTTCTTTGTGCATAATTTAATACGAAAAGTGGCTGCAGAAAAGTGGCCTCTAAGTTCATGCTGCAAATAAGTGGCCTAAAAGTTCATGCTGCAAATCACTGCTGTCCATCATAAAAACTGCTATAAAACAGTGAATCAAAAGTGGCTGCCAAATTGGAAATGCTGTGCAAAGCCTGTGAAATTGTCATCCAGATTTGAAACTAACCCCTCTAAATTTTTATGTGCCTGATAAGGCTGTGTGTTCTGTCTTATTCAGGGAGAACTTTAAGTCCTGCAAACCCAGTTTTAAATTCTCGCTTCATAGGGCCTCCTATTATGAGATATCAGTTGATGATGGTCCTTGGGAAAAACAGAAGAGTTCAGGGCTTAATGTGTGTACTGGAACAGGATCAAAAGCATGGTAAGTGCATGTTGCTGCTTTCATATAAAATATTGCTTTGGATAAGCTAGATGGACCTATTTTGCTTAGGCATTTTGTCCATACTTGAGACTTTCTTGGGCTATGGGTAAGTCAGTGCATGGCAGTTTTGTCCAAATATTCTCACTGTTGGTATGGTTCAAAGCTGTCTCAGGCGTATGAGAAGAGCAGAGTATCCCTCACTTGTAGGTGTGGAGAGAAGAGTTGAAAGGGTGAGAAGCTGAGGCATTGAGACAGAAGTTTACCTTAGGTGTAATTTTGGTGAAGGAGGTTCGATGCCGCATGTGGAGATGAATGGTTGGGGGTGGTGAGGGAAAAGGGTGGTGAGAAAGAGATTCTGCTCTGACTTGTAGAGGATATTGGGGGGAATCTCTGAACTGCTCTTGTTGGCTAAAATTAAAATGCTTAGATAAAGTAGCTCAGAAAACTTACAAAAATCTAAGCACTAAGAATGGGAAAACATGTACTTGGAAACAGTGTTAAGTGTTCTCTGGCACATCTACTGTCCATTCTCCTTCCAAGCCTCTTTGCTCTTTCAAACTTAATTGAAAGGCCACAGTCTCCTTGCCAAAATATTCCCCTTAAACAAAGACAGGCATATCTAAGCGGAGCTGTGCTAGCTTAATCAAAGGGCTAAATTATCTTAGCTTCAGTTTAAACAAGCTGCAGTACTGCATGTAAGTCTAATCAATTTAGTTTTGAGATGTCAGAGATGTGTACAGTGAGAGCCTGTTTCATTTGGAAATCTGGCTGTGCTTATAGTTTAAAGTTGTACAACAGTCTCTGGATTTATGTGGCAGGCTAAGATGAACTAAAACTGAAGCTTTTAATGAAATTCAAAAATGAATATTCATGCTGTAACCATGGTTATTGGGTTTTACTCTTCATTGTAATTCAGAATTTTGTATTCAGTCAGCATAACTTAGTCCTGGAGGCTGCCAAGGATGAAATTGGCACACTGCTAGGGGAACTTTCCTAGTGTTCAGTACCTTGGGAGTGTACAGTCTTAGTTCAAAGCTGTTCTTATGCATTTCATTTGCTTATACACTCTGTGCTGAGCAACCCCAGAACCAGGGGGCAAACTCCAGGATTACCCATCTCCATTGCTGTAATCAGTGTGTACTGATGGACTTGTCTAAAGTGAGGCCAAACCTCAGTGGGGTGATCTTCCTTAGCCTGTGGTTTAGGGACTCTCCTGGGATTTCAGACGTCCTCGGACTGAGAGGCATTTAAATGTCCAAGTGCTTCCTTCAGCTGCCAAAACTTGCATAAAAGGATGAGAGAAAGAGAACAATTTCAAACTGTGCATCTCAGTTTCTTGCGAGCATCTGCTCAGGCTTGCAGGTAGGCAATAAGTGTAAGAGAAAGAGCCTTGGACAACCACCTTCAGCAACTCTGTGGTTTGTTAGATGTGTCATGAATGTCTGTTGCAGTCTGAGGTGTTTTACTGCCGTGACAAGTGCTGGACTGAGGATTTTAAGCTGTATTGAGACCTGAGCAACTGAGATGTTCACAGTACTGCTGCATGGAGGCTGTGCTGTACCTAATCCCTTTTGAGCCTGGGCACACAAGGGACACTTTTATTGGAATTTAGACTTGGTTCAGACTGAGGCTTTATGCTGACTTGTGCATCCAAATGTGGCAAATGCAAAAGTGTCTGATCTGACTGTTCCTTTTCTATATACACTGATTATTGTGAGATTCAAGCGCACACTTTAGGGTGTGGGCAAAGAGGCATAATATTTATGAAGGAGTGTTGGGTCCCATAAATGAGAATTAACAGAAGGAATTAATTAGCAAGAGGTGGATAGAAGGGGTAAGAACACACAATCTGTAGAACTGTCATGCTTCAGTTTTTTTAATGCAGACTTAAATCAACAATTATTGGGGTTTTAAGGCAGGAGGATTATTGACAAGGAGACTACATCCTGTGTATCATGCTCCTCTTTCCTGAAGACTTCACTTAATTGATTATTAAGTTTACAAAGCCATTGGTAGATGTCAAACCAAGAGTTAATTTAAGGCTTTTTTTGGAAGAAACTGATGTCAAATCACATTTCATAGCATTCTTTATTTTTTTTCTTTCTCATGTTGAACATAGTTCTTCATCTGTATGCAAGATTCTTTGTTTTGTTTTTGTTTTTTTTTCTTCCAAGTTGTATTGCTCAGCAAACAAGACTTCTACTTCTCTGTCTAGGTCCTATAATATTAACAAGATAGCCCATCAAGCTGTTGAAGAGATCCTTAAAATTGGTGAGTGAACAGTGTGGCATTACTGGCCAAGTTTATATAAAGATACACCTATCTAATTGGGGCTCTTTCTCTTGGCTCAACAGCTAAAAAGCATGGAAGTTTCAATATGCCATTGAACACGGAACTAGTACAAAAAGGTTAGTGAAAAAGGCAAGATTTCTTTAACATATCTTAACTTTGACCAGTTCATTTTGTTCTTACTCTTAACAATCAGCACTGCTTCCAGTATTTTAGTGCTCTTGCAATATTAGTCTTGCTTACAAACAGTATTTAGGCACATTTGGTGAAAAATGTCTGACTTTATATAAAAAGCACTCATTTAGACTTTTGTATGTATAGATCTTCAGGAGAATTTCAGTTCTTCTGAGATTTGAGACACTTAATATTTAATCACCTGAAGAGAACTGTTTAGTGTTGGTCATGCAATAGAACTGAAAGGAATCTTCTGTAAAATTAATTTTTTTTTGCAGGTGAAGGCTATTAAACTTCTGGCAAGACTCAATATTCCCTCTCGATAGGGAAGCTGCTCTTTCCTAGAGGAATGTGTGTTTCTGAGAATACCTTATTTTCTCTGGAAAAACTAATGGCTGATTTCTCTATTTGCAGTAACAAATGATTACAATGAGTCCCTCCTCTACAGTCCAGAAGAACCGAAGATGTTTTTCAGTATTCGAGAACCTATTGTAAACAGAGTTTTCTCAAGTAGCCGGCAGCGTGGCTTCTCTTCAAAGTAAGTGTTGGCTGTAGCGGTCACTGAAGAGTTATTTCATATCCTTCCAGTTGCAGGGAATGATGAGGGAAGACACAGGAAGAGCCAGCAGATCAATAG